CATTTGGTTCATCTCACTTTTCAGATCGCTTCAACCAACGCATTTATCCACTGGGCCATATATCCTTGTGGACAAAGGCGTGTCACGTGAAACTAGAACAATCTAGCTCTGTGAACGAAATAAAAGGCTCGGTTTGAAATTCCAAATTTCACCTGAAGAAGGCCGGAGTCCCAATAATGTAAATAGTGTAAACAATTATAATACCTCATTTCAGAAATATAGAGACATTGATTTTACGAGAATTTTGGTATTGTTTATGAGTATTCGTCTAATGTTAACATGATGCTTATGTTGATTATTAATATGTTGTATAATTGCATTATTGTCGGATCGCAAACAAGTTAGTTATATATCAATCTGACTATTTAGATATTTGTCTATCTATCTAGTTGTCTAGCTATCTGTATGTTTATCTATCAAGTTGTCTATTTGGGCAGCAACCCTTCTTTAATACACGTTTCGCTAAACAAGACTGACAAGGTATTTTTGCTACGTATATTACCATGAGTGTCTGATTGCAAGTGTTTTCGTTTTCTGTACTTAGTGAACGTAAATGTTTTCCTAAAATCTGTAGATACCAAGTGCTTTCGGGTAAGCTGTTAGCTATTTCCAAGGGTGTTTTGAGAGGGAAATATACGGCGTGGTGCTGGAACATTCTTGCCAGACCATCATCCTAATTCAAACCAAATGATCAAAGATTAATTTCTTAGGCGGAAATCTTTCGAGTTGGGAGGAAAAAGTTTCAGTATATCTGTAAATATCTCTCTCTCTCTCTCTTTCTTTCTCACACACATGCACTTTGTATGTATATTTATATATTAAGTCAAATAAAATAGTTAAACGGTAAAACAGTCAGAACTAGTTGCCAATCTAGAAGCAAATTTAAATTCATGCAGTCGATGCACTAAGGAGAAAAGCTAATCAGAACAATTTTCATGAAAATATTTGTAGAAAAGACAGGAAAGCCACGTCGCGTCTGTGAGAAATTGACTAAAGTTGAGATGTCAAGTCAGGATAAATTATATTAAAAATTCAAAGAAAGGTCTGCAATGTAATCGATCCTGATCTGGCATCTCGACTTTAGTCAATATCTCGAGTGGATATAACTGAAAGAGTAGTTGTAAATTTGGTCGTTATGAAACAAGTTTTACGGTAAATTACGACTCGAACTTTCTTCGGTGTATGAATTTTATAACAGATTTTTACTTCTATGGGCCGAGTCCCGTCAGGCCGTGAGCAATTATGTCTCTCCATGATAAGGTTTATTTTTTTCGCTACATATCCCAATCATTGTTCTGCTAGCAATTTACACAAGTTAGGTTTACGCTACTTTCTTATGTTCTTCTTGCCTTCACGACGCCATGTCAAATTTTTCAAGCCTCTTTTCTCGTTATGTCCCTTAGACATTTTAACTATATTACTGATGCTACGTGTTCTTCTTGTTTCCATTTTCGCTAAAGATTCATCGTTGCTCACGGGTTCAGTTCATGTTATTCTCAGCATCCTTCTTTTAGAAAAATTCTGTCAGCTCGATTCTCTTCTCAATTTGTGATAAGAAGAGTCCAGCATTAACTATCATATAGGAATGCCGATATTAAATAACTGCTTGGTGGTTTTTTCTTGATTTCTAATGTAATTTTTCTGTTTCTTAATACTTTGCTTACCTTTTCGGAGGTAAATTTGCTGTCTAAATGAGCGTCCGGTTTCACATTTTCCATCTTCTTTTAAAGCTCCATGAAGACACCCGATACTAGTTTAGCTAACTCATTAAAATATTTTCTCCACCACCACACAAAAACATTAATTCAGATATATCTATATATCTATAATTCTCAGAATGTGTGTCTGTACGAATGGATGTTGTTTAAGCGTTTCCTCAGTTTTCATCCGATTTTGATGATTCTTTTCTTGTTTGATACATAATTCTCCAGTTCAGGTTTTGAGTCCAACCTTGAAGGTGAAAGATCGACAAAAATAATTTTTTACACATTGCGCAAAAATCATTGGCAAAATTCTCACAAGTACAGCCCACCCTTTACAAAATGCTTTATCTGTGCAAAATGTGTGCGATCTTAGGTATATTTTCCCACTTCAAAAATGCAAAGTGGAAAATGTCATGATGCCATTTCTGACTTTATGTCTCAAGTTGGGACCCAGAAAGAATTGAGTATACACCAGAAATAAAATATAATAATAATAATAATAATAATAATAATAATAATAATAATAGGGAGCAGAAAAATGGTATGTGCATGAACCACTTCCAATAGTATAAAACTGGACCGGCGTCCTGGGTATGACGATAAACTACATCCGCGTCCTGGGTATGACGATAAACTACATCCGCGTCCTGGGTATGACGATAAACTACGTCCAACAGCAAGGCCTCTGATAATATGTTTGTTTTTTTTAAATAATGTTGCCAGCTATACGCTTTTGAAGAATAATGTTGCCAGCTATACGTTTTTGAAAAGATAATAGTACCAGCTTTACGGTTTTGAAAAAATAAAATTACCACCTATACGTTTTTGAAAAAAATAATATCACCAGCTATGTTTTTTGAAAAAAATAATACTACCAGCTACATACATTTTGAAAAAAATAATATTACCAGCTATACGTTTTTGAAAAAATAATATTACCAGCTATACATTTCTGTGGAAAAAATATTAACAGAAATAGATTTTTGACAAAGCAAAAATATTACCAGGAAAAAAAAAATGTCGGCATTAAATGACCCATTGAGGTTGATATGCCGTAAAACAAACCAAATCAAACCAAAGCTGCGTGGTACTTCACAGTGTAATGTCTTAATGTAATTGAAACAAGAAGGCCAGACAACATTACTACCCAGAAGGTTAACATACTGTTTAGAATCAACTATACAGCGGCACCAGGGGACGTAAGCGCAGTTAAGAAATAAAAATAGGCATGTTTGGAACTGTGACAGGCAAAATTTAAAAACTGCTGGCTATGATTCGAGCCGAGATGCTTCAATGAATATAACCGAGAAAGTTTTAGTCAATGTCGACCGACGAAGAAATGCTAGGAACTATGTTTACTTGTTAAGACCTGTTCCTTATCAATAATCCTCGGCATAAGATCTTTAGATAACGGTTAATAATAATAATAATAATAATAATAATAATATTAATAATAATAATAATCAAAATGGGCGTAGAGATGCAACTACAGCACAATACACCGGCTGAAACTGCAAAATACCTAAAAAAGATAGCTAAGACGAATGCAACCGACCAGTTACAGAAGCGATGGCAAGATAAACCGCTTCATGGCCAATACTCTGCCCGTACCAAACAAGCTGACGTAGACAAAACCCGTACCCATCAGTGGCTACGTAGTGCAGGGTTGAAAGCGGAAACTGAAGGTTTTATCTTTGCTGCGCAGGACCAATGCTTGCTAACTAGGAATTATCAAGCACATATACTAAAATATAGTGTCAGCCCAAAATGCAGATTCTGTGATAAATATCCAGAAACGATTGATCATCTTGTATCAGGTTGCACGGTGTTGGCACCCACTGAATATAAAACCCGACATGGCAAAGTGGGCCAATATCTGCACTGGAAAATCTGCAACTTCTACGGGAAGAAAACTGAAAGAAACTGGTATGAACACCACCCAGACCCGGTTACGGAGATAGGACCTGTTACAATTCTATGGGATTACACAATACACACTGACAGAACAATCAAGGCCAACCGGCCAGATATTGTTATTAAAGACCACAAACAAAAACGATGCCTCCTTATTGATATGGCAGTCCCTGCTGACTGCAATGTATCTTTGAAGATATTCAAAAAAAAGTTGTCAAAGTACAAGGACCTTGAAATAGAAATCTCGAAAATGTGGCATAAGAACATCAACAATCCCTGTTGTAGTTGGAGCCCTAGGACTGGTTGGAAAAGATTGCAGTAGACTAATTGAAGGGATTCCTGGAAGTCCATGCCTCAAGGAGATACAAAAAAAATTGTTCTGACAAGTACAGCCCACACCTTACGAAGGGCTTTATCTATGTATTTTCTTTTTTTTTTTTTTTTTTTTTTTTGTCAGTGGAAAACGCCATTTCAACCTTAACCTTTGTAAACGCCAGAAATCAAAGAAAATAATAATAATAATAATAATAATAATAATAATAATAATGAAGATATTCAAAATGCTATCAAAATACAAGGACCTTGAAATAGAAATCTCGAAAATGTGGCATATGGGAACATCAACAATCCCTGTCGTAGTTGGAGCCCTAGGACTGGTTGGAAAAGATTGCAGTAGATTAATTGAAGGATTCCTGGAAGTCCATGCCTCAAAAGATACAAAAAATTGTTCTGACAAGTACAGCCCACACTTTACGAAGGGCTTTATCTATGTAATTTTTTTTTTTTTTGTCAGTGGAAAGTGTCATGATGCCATTTCTAAACTTAGGTCCCTGGACGGGACCCGGAAAGAAATGTGTAAACGCCAGAAATCAAAGGAAATAATAATAATAATAATAATAATAATAATAATAATAATAATAATAATAATAATAATACGTAAAGATCTTCAAAAAGCTATCAAAATATAAGGATCTTGAAGTGGGAATCTCAAAATTGTGGCACATAAAGACATTAACACTTCCAGTTCTAGTTGAAGTCCTCGGATTGATTGGAAAAGGTTCCGATAGACTCACAAAATAGATTCCTGTAAGCACATGCCTTAAAGAAATTAAAAATATATATATATACAAGTACAGTTCACACATTATGAAGCGTAAAATATGTAGAATGTTTGTAATCAGTTTTTTTTTGTACAAAATAATGATCAGTAGATGATGTCATGAAGCCATTTCTGACCGTATGTCTTTGGTTGGGACCCGGAAGGAGATGTGTAAACAACAGAAATCCAAGGAAATAATAATAATAATAATAATAATAATAATAATAATAATAATAATTTGTTTTTGATGAGAACGGCGTCTAAGACGATGTGTATATTAAAACTAAAGTAGCTATTAATGGTGATGACGACTCCGGAGCAGAATATCTGGAAAGAAAACTGAACATTTATTGCGAAGAAGAAGAAGAAGAAGAAGAAGAAGAAGAAGAAGAAGAAGAAGAAGAAGAAGGGCAAAAGAACAAGAAGAAGAGGTGAAGGGATGATAAAACAAACTTCATAAAAAATGTAAAAAGCATCCGTAAGATTTATAAAAGCATCACGGAATCGGAAAAAAAGAAGAAAAAAAACAAGTTGTTAAAGAAAAAAAAAAGGCATTGTACAGACTGATGGTTGCCAGTACAATCCAAATCTAAGCACTCATTAAATACCTGGCAAGTTAGAAACGAAGTAATGGCTTCCACCCAGGAGGTGAGAAATGTGTCGTCTGCATTAATCAATAGAGGAAGCGCGTTCGCGTTGCTCCTTTATTTTTGAGCTGAATATGAAAACTTCCTTCAGGCGGCCCCCTATGTTCTTACTCAAATAATTTGCCCCATTAACTTATTTGTATCTTTTTTTTTGTTGGGTCTAAAAGCAGGGAAAGTGAAACAAATAAACTGAGCACTCTAGAAAGAAGACAAACAAGACAAGTGAAGAGATAGTGTGAGATAGAATGATAGATAAATAATATAAAAGAGAGAAAAAGAGGAAGAGAGGTAAACAGAGAGGGATGAATTAAGAGAGAGAGAGAGAGAGAGAGAGAAAGAGAGAATAAAAAGAGAAAGAAAGAGAGAAATGAATATACGCAAACAATTTTCTGAAACAGGAAGAGTGTAAAACAATTTAAGACTGATTCGTTCCCGCCATGTTTGTAAATAAGCAAAAATAATTTAATCTGATACCCACCATTGTGATAGCTTTGAATTTTTATTTGTCTCGATTTTGCAATTGTTTGTAATATTTTCCCGAATCATCTTCTTCGATTTTTTTCTCCAAATTCGTAGTGCCTCCGCATTCATTAATATTTATCAATTTTCATAAATGGAAGCAAAAAAAGAGCCCCCATATCGAATATGTTTTTTTATCATCTAGGCGAAATATTTTAAATTATAATTATCGAGAAAAAAAAACTATCAGAATTGTCAATATTTCTTCATAATAGCTTTACGTCATTAGGTTAATTCTAAACACTTATTTAAAAAAAAAATTCGGATAATGATGAGTTTCAAAAATAAGGACTTATTTTTTTGTACGTTAATTTCTGTTGAAAGCCGTTTTAGTGCACACGCCATGAAATATTAAAGAGATTTATTTACAAGAAAGTTTCACAAATGACTGAAAATACGAGGCAATTTTGTTGGCATAGCAAAGAATAGGGATGTAAACATTTGACATAATGTAGGCATCTGGGTTTAATTAATCTGCGCCGAAGAATGTGTCATATTGAAAAAGTATGTTTTAATTCATAGCCCTTCGCATATTTAAACGAAGGCAAACATACTTTTGAATATATTGCAATCGATGTCAAGCATATGGATGTATGTATTAATATACATGACATTAACAACCATTAATTATTGTTTACTCTTTAGGATATTTAAGAAATAAACATGAAATATGTTCAGGCATAACCATTGTCTCTGTGAAACAAATTTGGTTTTCAAAGATCTTATGGCGATTTTTACGTCGATCATAATTCGCTTAAAAGTCAGCCATTAAGCAAATCGCAAATCGTATTTCTAACTTAATATTATAATTAACTGTAACTTTTTTATGTCTTGTGCTCCTTAAGTACGGGGGCTATCATGGCTCTCCATTCTTGTAATTCTTACGTCATTTGCAAACATATTTATCGTTAGTTCGATTTTATTTTCATGATTTCCAAGGGGAATTTTCAGATTACGCTAAACGTATTTTAAAGCCGTTTTCATTTTTTGTTTAATACAGAGATAATCTGGGTGGCGATTTCTACAGAGTAGTGAGTACTATCCACACCAGGTATCTTCTATTGGTTACCCTCTCCCAAAGCAAAATATTTCAAGTTAGTTAGGCTTGGGAAATCGGTTAGCAAATTAGTCTAGTTGACTGCTACATATACTTTTGTCTATCACATTGTGTAGTGTTCAGGCTAAATCTAAAAACGTAGACATGTGTGCGATTTACACTAGGGCACAATGGATTAATTAGTAATTGACAGCTAATAGAGATTCCTGGGTATGACGATAAACTACACCCAGAAGCAAGTTCTCAGATCGGAAATTAGAGGGTTTGAGGAACCACATATTAACTGTTGTTTTTCCTCGGTTCACCCTGACCCAGGGTAGTAGCACCTGTTAGGGTCCAAGCTATAGGCAAATAGTGACCCCCCCCCAAACAAAACAATATGAAAGTATAAAAATATCTTTTTTAGTAAAAATACCAGCAATTCCTTTATATATCTATAAAATAACCAACAATACATATTTATAGCAAAACGAACAATAATACATGTTGGAGCAAAATGAGAAGCAATACGTTTTATTTGTACTTGAATTCATACAATTGCATTCAAAATATATTTAGTTG